CAGCATTGCCGCACAATGCTCTCCTAGCTCTCAACCTGTCGACCCCTCACATATTCAGGAAGTGGAGGATGAGGTCCGCCGCCGGAACTCACCCCCCACAACCTCTGACCCTATCACTGTGTCCAATGATGAGATCTCGTCCCTCATCAAAGGACTTAAGCCCAAAAAATCTCCGGGCGCGGATGGCATATCCAACCAAGCCCTTAAATACTTTCCAGAGCAGGTGTTAACCCTCTTAGCTATTATCTTTAACGCCTGTTTTAATCTTAGTTACTTTCCCACTTCTTGGAAAGAGGCAATTGTCATTGGTATTCCCAAGCCAGGCAAGCCTCTTAACCTCCCCTCCAGTCATCGTCCCATTAGCCTCCTAAAGGCCATGGGCAAACTCTTTGAAAGAGTCATTCAAAATCGAATGAGGCGCCATCTGTTTCCCACAGACGGTGACCCCATTGTCATCCCACACCAATTTGGTTTCCGCGCAAAACACTCGTGTCCACAACAGGTACACCGCATTGTGGAATATATCCTCAGCGGTTTTTATCCACGTCGACTAAAGACAATCGCGGTCTTTTTCGACATTGCCAAAGCCTTCGACCGAGTCTGGCATGAAGGCCTTATTTTCAAATTATATAGGATAGGACTCTCCGATCGTCTAGTACGTCTCGTAGCCTCTTATTTACAACATCGTACCTTTCGTTTTAGACACGAAGGCACGTTATCCTCTCAGCGCCCCATTAAAGCTGGTGTTCCTCAAGGATCAGTACTAGCTCCCCTCCTGTACATCTTGTACACCAACGACATTCCTATCCCGTCGAATGGTGTACAGCTCTCACTCTTCGCAGATGACACTGCACTATACTTCAAAAGTCCTAGAATATCTTCAGCAAGGAACAAGATCCAAAAGTCAGTCGATGACCTAGGAGACTGGTTCCAAAAATGGCGTATCGATGTGAACCCGGAGAAGAGCTCCGCAGTTCAATTCGATATTAAAAGACGCCGTAATAAAAACAAGAAAAATACTCCACCTATACGAATGCTAGGGACCCCTGTCCCATGGCACATGTCAGCAAAATATTTAGGCGTCACCCTTGACTATAGGCTTACTTTTGAGTCTCATGTCAAAAGAGTAACGCGTCTAGCACGTTTCTATTTAGGTCGGCTTAACAGTATGTTAGGCAGACATAGCAAAATGTCATTACGAAATAAGCGAACCCTCTATAAGGTTTGTATACGACCGGTTATGACTTACTCGGCTCCTGTTTTTGCACACGCTAACGATAAAATTATTAACGAACTCCAAGTAGTTCAAAACCTCTTCTGTCGTCGAGCTACGAACGCACCTTGGTACGTCCGTAATGCCGACCTTCACCGGGATTTAGAAATCCCAACAATCCAGCAATGTCTTAAAAAATTCTCTGAAAACTTCTTTAAAGTATCAGAGTCGCATACTAACACACTTATTCGTGAGGCAGTTACTTATACCGCCCCACTCCCTTCTCGCTATAGCGTCCGCAGGCCGAGAAACACTCTCTTGGACCCGCCAAATAAGTTGTCAAACGACCTGAACTGCCTCCTGGCGGCTCAGGCCAATCCTAATTAAATTAAAAATTAGTTAAAATTAATAATATGCCTTCGTAGGCAGTCCCTAAACGGCACTTAGCCGTCTGCGCCCTCTTTTCCCAAAAGAGGGTCGCTTTAGATACGGCATATGCAGCTTTAATAGAGCTAGTTGCCAGTCCCCAAAGGCGGTTTTTAGTGGGTATCACTTAGGTCCCCCGGTAGGCAGTGAGTCCCACATAACCAGGACAGACCGGCTGTCGTGGTATGCATAATGCATTTTCCGCCTCCCTCAGTGGTAGCCCTTTGAGGATGCCTCGGGTAGAAGCGAAACACGTGTCGTATTGTCGTCAGTGGTGTGTCTTTCCTAGTGTAGTGGTGTTGGGAGTAGTGGTGCTGGGATTAGTGGTGACGAGCATAGTGCACGCAAATGAGGGAGGGCGAGAGGTGCTCTTCAAACTAGGTAAGACACATCATTTTATTTTATCTAGCGTATGCACGGAAAGTAATTTTTTGTCAAATTTAATATAATGGACTTCCGCAAAATAACACCTGTTTCTATTAATTATCGAATTTGGGTTGCTTACGATCGGTTCGATTACCGGATAACTTTCAAGATTCTATCAATGTGGTTTTACTCATCGTTAAAATTAAAATAAACATGCGTATAAAATTTGCTGTCTTTAATATTTATAGTCCTTTTTCGCAAGAGCTTGTTCATTTACTCATGTCAGCTATGAAACCGGGACTGAAACAAAAATCTCAATAGGTAGGTAGTAGTAGTAGTTTCATTGGGCCTCGCGGGAATCGAACTCTTTTGTTCCTGTGCTTTGAAATCTTACGGCGGGCTACAAAGCTCTCGTATTTGCTTAAGTAAACTCCTAAACGCTGAAAATAAGTTTTTGCACTATTGTGGAGCCCATCTACATTGTAATTAGTCAATCAAACTATTCCATCATTTAGATATGAAAATCTTACAGTCCACTTAATTTTCAATTATCGGTTTTGATACAAACAGTTCTGTTAGTCATTTTGACTATAACGATAAATCATCCCGACACCGGTTTGGATATTTTAAGTCTGACAATTTTCGATGCTGGAAGAAAAAAAAGTATTCAATAGAATTCTCATTAATTTCATCACTTATTATTAGTTTATTTAGCAGTAGGTAGATGGCATTTTATGAGATTAAAACTGTAAAAACAAAAACTGTACGCTATAGTACTCAGCGACAATAAGTTGAGGTGTGAGTCGTGTGGCGTCTCACACAAAAAAGCCGCCAACATTTATATAATACACTAATTGGGAATAAATTATATTCTATTAAAAATTCTGGTTCAATCAAAAATACGTTATCAGCGCTGCTAGCGGTGTGTAATGAAATTATTTTACGATATAACAATATGAAGAAATAGCAATGTTGTGTTTAGTTGTTAATATCGCATCTCTATTCATTGATTTGGTCAGGTTATATCATGATATAATCACAAGTAATGATAAATTTAATTAAATGCCACCATTTCGTGCTATAATTAACTACTTTATGATATTATTAATTCTAAAATCTCGCTAATAAATATATAAAAACCTCTTTATTTAAACTATATGGATAGTGAGTTTTGCAATAATTACAGTTTTATCAGTTCGTTTATAGATAATCAAAACATTTTATAAATTTAAACTTAGAAATTAGAAACATCTCACATTTTATGAATTTCGATAGATGTCACTGTTATCTACTATTTAAGTAGTAACTAATTAGTTACTATAAACTTTATTAATTCCTACTAAAATGAAATAAGTAATGAACTGAAAAATGAACGTTAGAATTTTCAAATAATTATGAATTAAATTAATAAACATATAAATGTAAGTTATATATTTTATTTTATTCATTAGTAAGTGGAGGTAAAATGTTACTTTTTTATTTGTTACGTGATTTCCCGTTAGATGGCACTGTTTTGATAAAGTAAAATTTAGATTGTCGGCGTAGTTAAAATTATAACGCAACAGTTAAAACTCATTTTAGTCTTTATTTATAAATATTTTATTTATTTAAAAAAAACATCAATTATCAATAATATAAAACAGAAATTAACATCTTGAGAAAGGAAAATACTTAACCCTCTTTTTTTGATGACCCGTAATCGGATAAAAAGTAGCCTATAAGTTGCCCCGGGTCCCTAACTATCTACACACAAAATTTCATGGAAATCTGTCCAGTAGCTTTTGCGTGAAACGGACAAAAATTCTAAAAACCACTCATTTGGCCTCAGTGCCCTTTATTTAGTCCCCTGGAATTGTTTTTCCAGAAAATATTAGAATTACGGACAAGACTTTTCTACAGATTTATTATACCTATATGTATAGATGTAAGCCCTTATTGCACACATCTTCAAATCAATGCTATCAGCATAGAGATGGTGCTAGAAATTGTATTTTTCTTACTTGGTGAAAAATATAAACATATTTATTAACCTTCATAAATTTAATAAATATAAGGCATTCACTGTAAATTCATAAATTGAAATATTACCACTAAAATTATTTCTCTATCAGGCATATATTCTATCACTCATTAAATACAAAAGGACCACAAAGAAAAAAAAAATTGTAGTTTTATTGCACAAAATATGATCTAAATGGGTGATATTTTATGGTGCAAAAAGATACCCATCATTTTAGCTTATTACCAAAAAACATAACCGCATTTTTTGCATTTGTATATTTTGCTAACTTCAGTGCAAAACGGCCATTTTGTAAGTTACGACCTGACAGTCATCTCAAACGCACAATAGTTAAGTGCAAAAAGCGTCACAATTCAAAGAAACAAGGAAATTATTATAAGCAAAAGTGCCACATTTTTGGGAAGTGAACGTTTTTCATAAAAAAGTCAAGTAAATAAGATCATACTTTTTTATACAATAATGTCATAATACTTTTGAAATGCTTCTATTTTGTATAGAACGTTAATAAGTCAATCGTTAAAATAATCTGTTATGTTAGTAAGTTAATGGATTCCCATAATTTATTTTCGTTATTGACTTCTTTTTCCTTTCATTTAACCCTTAATTAGGCGCATGGGGTCAAGATAATTTCAAATTAAAAAAGAACGTGTTAGAATGTTTGGAGCGCAATCGTGCTTCCTAACTTTCTAACTCCCCGCGGGGTACACAAATTAGTCGCGGCCAAATCATCAATGCGTACGCACAAGTCTCTACTCTCTTGCACAGTGTACTTTTTAATATAGGAAACTCTCTTAGGTGCTGACCCCATGCGACCACTTACGTAACATTTTTTGACGGAGGTAAGTTTTAATTTTCGTGTTTTTACTTAGTTTCTATGCGTATATTGATATTAATCTTTATTAGTATTTGTGTATTGTCATAGTGCATATTCACTTTAACCATTTTTGTTTTTATTTTTATTGATTTTTTTTTCAGTTTGCAGTTTTGAGATGACTCGCGAAAGAGAGCTACTGCAATGGATGACGGATGTGTCCGACGATGAGCAAAATGTTGCTGATTCTGCTAATGCTATCAGTAATGCAGAATATTGATAAGAGTAATACACATAAGGCAAATTATTTTTAATAAATTAGCGGTAGCACTTGTTAGAAGAGCAGCAGGAACGTAGCATTCAACAGCGTGCAGTCCCTACTTCAACAAAAATTGGCAAATGCAATAAGTGTGGTAAATATATATTTGTCAACAACACTTTAGGGTATAGTGCATCGGATGCAGAATATAAGAATCTGCTGATGAATCGAATTATTATTTTTAACGTCGATCACGGCTACGGCAAAAAACTGTAGTTTAATAGATATTAGATTTGTTATTATTTTAATTGTTTAAAGTCGAAGTTATGTTTTAGTTTCTAAACATTAATTATAAACAAAGAATTTTAATATTTTTCATAATACATACTTTGTTTTATTTATTTCTAACACTATTTTCAACTATTTGTTTGGGGTCACTAGAGACCCATCAGACTAGTTGTGTGATTTTCTTCATGCGCCTAATTAAGGTTAAATATAATTTTATTAGAAAATGTGTATTTATTTGATATGTTTTCTTTAAAATTTTAAAAGCATAAGGGACTTGTGTTATTTTATCAGCGTGGTTATAGATATTACAAAGTTCATATTCCTCATAGTACATAAAAATACAGTACAAAAAAACGCAACTAATGATGTAAGAACATAATAATATTATATTGTTGCATAAAAATGTAAAAAAAAATCCAAAAATTCATCTTTTAAATTTTGTTTTGGCTGTCCTGTAAAAAATGCAGTTTTTGATTTGTGTCAGTTTTGTATTTAATGGACGATATATTCTTTAATAAATATTAGTTACCAGGCTCTGTCTCAGGTTCAAATAAAAAAGAACACAATATATAGAACATAAGTAAGACGTGAGCATTCTGTTGCTGATGTCCAGTCTATTACTACAACTTAAATGTCTTTAATAACATAAAATAATTGTCTAATTCTCAACAACTAATGTCACTTGCACAAATTGATTTAAAGAATTCTTGTGGCTGTGTAAATTCAACCCCAAATACCAACAAGACCATGACTTTTAAATTTAGCTCTTTTAACAAACAATTCACATCTAGAATTCAGTGCAGTCTGTGATCCACAACCCGGTCATGGATGATGCATGCTGCATGCACTGCCTTGTTTCTAGCCAAAATTAATGTTAAAAATCATTCATTTGTGTGTTTGGTCCGGGTGAAGGTAATCCCCGATTCCATGTATGTCAATATTATCTTAAAAAATATTAACATGAGGACGTTTTTTTTTTCATTTTTAAATGTAAAATATTAATCTGTTACTATTAATTATTAAATTTCCCAATTCTCTCATCCCTGTTTAGGCTATTTCCCTCCCATAACTAGATGTTTGTTCTATATTATAGAGTTGTCCTTAATTCAGCATATATTTACTTTGGATTTTTTAGTCACATTTTCACCTAAAAAAATTAACTTTTAATAAAAAGTTAATTGACTTCAAAAAACTAAAAAAGGATAAAATATTTTTTCTGAAGTTAGCACTGAGACATAGTGTACTTATAGAACAATTAAATCATAAACTTGAGAATGTGAAATTATTTTATTATTTTTAGTTTGTTGAAGTCTGCTTTTACTCTTTATAAAATTACTTTTAGAGTAAAATAAGGAATATCACAATTTCAATTTCATCTAAATAGTTTCATTAGAAACTCCATCCCTTATTTTGCCACTCTTAGGGGTGGAAATTTCTCTAAATTTATATGGGATCACTGAGAAGAGTCATCAAAATCGGTTCACAATTGACAAAAGATATTGTATAATATATTATACATACAATAAAAAACATAGAGTTGAATTGTAAACCTCTTCTTATTGTAGTGTGCTAAAAACTGGCAACTCTTGTCTCACGAAATCAAAGGCCAAGATACAAAATAAAAACATATATAGTGATTTCATTTATGACGACCTTGGTTGTAGCGACCATTTACATATAGCGACGTTAAATCCTAAGTCCCTTGAATTTAAAGCATATTTTAGTATAAAATTCATGTGGTTACGACTGTTTTTAATGAACCATTTGTAACACATTCCTAGAAATCCCATGCAGATATTGGACCCGAGTCGGCCGCCAAAGACAACAAACATTTCTTTTTTTCCACAAACATTTCTTATCTTTTGTTTACATCCACACAGATGATCAGCAAGTGTCCCCTGTACGTTTTGGAATTAAATTTATGGTACAGTTACAAAGTGATATTCTGAGTAGCAACTGTAATGTATTGAATTTGTTACCTTTGCCTGTAACGACTTCCGGATATAACGACGAAAATAGAGTGGTCCCTTCATCGTTGTTATAACCGAAATTCACTGTAATTGCCTAATATATTATGCTACATTTGAAATTAGAGGTCATATTATATGCTTAACATGCCCTTGTTTATTATTCATTCATTTTGCTTTTTCAGATCCACTTTTGAAGTGACATACGTAGGTTTTCCATTGGCATCCCATGTAGTTTTGCACTTTCTAAATACGAATGCCATATATACAGCTGAAAAAGATAATAATTTTTGGTTAATAATGTATTATGTTGGGAAAATCAAAGCAATATTAGGCCCTTATCTATGAACTTGTCATTTTCTAACAATAGCTATTTCAAGTTTTATAAATATTGATTTGAAATTCTAAATTCAAATTATAGCCATGTAAAAAAAATTTAAATTTTCGTGTATGAGTTTTGTCATAGCTCTTCATCGTAATATACTGCAGATGGCATGTAAAATCAACATTCAACAACATGTACAGACCACTACGGCAAATGAATGCAGTGTTATTTTAGTTTTGATAACTTCTTTTCTGCAAATTTGAACCTGAACAATTAGCCCCTTGGAAAATGGGAGACTAGAGTCAGTAATAATAAATAGAAAGCTATAATGCATACCACTTGTCAAAGTTAACACAGTCTTTAGTAATAAAACAATATCGATTCATTTGTGTCAAATTAGGACACAACTACGGTTCTTACGGTGTCACGATTTGAAAGTGGATTCGCATAGATCTCGACGAGATACGCCATAAAGTAAGAATACATTTTTTCCACATCTCGCTTAGTTTCTGGGATATCGATACTCAAAAATTGAAACATTAATTTTTTTTAACATTACATATTCAGTTTATTTTTGGAAGATAAAACTATAGACATCCGGTACTTGCATACGGGGGTGGGTTCAGGGGGAGCCCTCCTATCCTTCCCCCCTTGCAGAAAAGTATAGTTTATGAGTAATAATTTTTTTGTAAAATCATAACCCCACATTTTTACACAGGAATATTGACCCAAAATCAATTCAGTCTCAGCCCTCACTAGCCTCGGCCGATATGGCTCACACAGGTGCCTGCTATTTGCTACAGCAGACGGGGGTCTGCTCTTCCTCCACGCCTACGGCTTTACAAACACACTCTAGGGGTAGGGCAGGCAAGACTATGTGGAGTCGGGGCATGCTGATTCGGTTTTAGTACAGATTCGACCCATCTTATTTATAAAGTCAGGTTGCCCTAAACTCTGCTATGATAGTGGTTTTGGAGTATTGATATCCCGGAAATTAAGTGAGATATTGAAAAATTTTATTACTTTTTGACATACTCTTGTCAAGATTTGTGCGAATCCACCTTCAAATCGTGGTGCCGTAGGAACAGTAGAAGCCCCCAAATTAGGAAACAAAAAGGTAAAAGTGAGTAACTTTTTAAATATTTTAAGGACAATAACAAACTATGATCAAAGCTTGTATGTTTTTGTTCAATTAACACACAACTTGACGAAAGATGTATATGCAAATAATGAATGCTTATTGGGATCTATAAGGCAGCTAACCTCCAGCTGACTCAAAAGACACAACTTGTGAGTTGTGACTATATAGTGGACCTGTACCAGCATTATTTATACAACAACTTTACAAGATCTAGCATGACAACAACTATAGAAGTAATGGAAAACAATGCATCATTCACCATACTTGCCAGACCTTGCTCTTGCTAATTTCAAGTTTTACAAAATTTTTATAATGTGAAAAGGGCATTTAAAGAATTAATTAATTTCCACTACCACAGTTATATAGCAATTGTTGAAATGGCTCACACTTGGATTAAAGATTTTAAATTTTTTCAAATAGTTGTTAAAAATTTTCTTTATAGAATAGCAATTTCATATTTAAGGATGTAAGAGTTATTCTTTCTAATCTTTAGTATTAATTGTAAAGATACAATTCTTCATGTCATAAAATATTACTATTCCTATGCATTGTACTCTAAAACTCTAAGCACCAATTTTATTTTGGTTACTACAAATTAACTTTTCCGTGTTTTACTTTTTGATGTTTAAATAGTTATTACTAGTGCATATAATCAAAATTGGTTATAAAAAATTTATTAGATGTCATTGAAAAAAATTTCTTCTCTAAAACTGGCGCCAACTAATAAGCTTAAGAAAAACAAATTGCTGTTTGTCACAGGACAAGTGACACCTCGGTTTTTAACTTTTGGGTGGGAGTTGGTTTATATATGATCACCCACATCATCATTACAGCCTACCAAAGTCCACTACTGAATATACACCTCACCCACAGATTGCCTCATATCCCAATATCCCACTTATTTGCCATAGCTGCCACATGCGGCAGGCATATTTACAGTCCAATTTTTATTATTTTAAGAAGTTATCGTGTATATTAATTAAAGATAATAGATTACCTTGAAATATTATATTAAATGTATTTTATTCACAATTCAATACCTTAATATGTGTAATAAAAACACAAAATTATAAGAATGAAATAAGGATGGCTCTATACACATATTAGTCTCCGAAACAAAAATGTTTAATAACAATAAGCCATTAGACAATATTTTTATTATTTACAATATAATACTCACTTGCTACTTCCCATTCACTAGAACTTATAGTTCCAAGATTAGATTTCTCAGTCTTATCACTTTTATCCTCCCAAAATGTTTTTGCATGTTTATATTCTGCTTCCTCAGCAATCAATTCCCTACCAGGTGGAGCTGGATAATTTTCGAAACACTTAATTCTGTGCAATAACTGTTTATAGCTTTCTGAATATTCTTTATAAAAATCTGAGAATCCTCCTTTATAGATTAATTCAAGCCCATATTCTGCAGCAAGTTTAACAAATAAATTAAAGTTTACTAAAAACTCTGGACAGTCTACTACACCCTCTAAATGGAAGTCATATTTTGCTCCAAAAAGGGGATATCCATCTTTGGGGTCAAACAATAATTTTATTTGATATATTCTGTTACCAAATGTACCATCACAAGATTTTTTTGCTCTAGAAACAATTTCATATGCATTAGGTATAGTACCTAAGAAATATCCACCTGGTGCTAAACATTCTGATATGTTAGTCAGCATTCTTCGTGCTTGACCTAAACTTTCAAAACTGTAATGTAAACCAAATTGACAACTAACTATATCAAAACTTATGGATGGATCCCTATATTTATCTCTCAGGGTACCTTTAGTGCAATCTACTGCAATAAATTCGGCAGAAAATAAACGCCCACATCGCCGTTTTAAATCTTCATAGCGTGCTTCACATTGCTTCACTGAGATCTCAGCTATGTCGGCGAAAACTACATGATCTACTCGCGCCTTTTGCCACTTGCTTAAATCACCTCCTTTTCCACAGCATATGTCAAGTACTTTTATCTGCTTCCCGTAGTTTTTCTGCCTAATTTTATCTATAAATTCTTGTATCAATACACTTTTGACCCAATTATTAAAATTCCTTAAATAAAATATAGGAGAATTAAACCTTTCTTTCAATCCTTTTTCTTCAAGATGATTATAATGAGCGGCCACTACACTGGCATGTTCCACATTACTACTAGCATTTTCATCATTACCCTGATACTTTATAGGAGTATTCTCGTCGTCATTCCTGGTTTTTGGTTCATTGGCTTGTACACTATTACTCATTGTTTTAAACTTTAGTTAAAAGTTATGGCATATATTTTTATGGTATTTAGAAAATATACCCAAATTACCTGAAACTATTAATGATTGAAAATAACAAAATCGCAAATTACACTTACTAACTTCTTGCAAAGAGGAGTTAAAATCTCAGAACATTAATACTTTTGAAATCTCAAGTTGCTTACCTATGTACTTGAATTGAATACAAACAAAAATGAAGATGAAACGTAGTTGAAATAATTTATGAAACTAAGTCTACTTTAGAATACTAATATAATATCTAATACATACTGTAATACATACTATACTAGTAACCACAGAATACTAGATAAATATATATGTAGCAAGCTAACTAGCAGTGTGACCATCTTTAAAATACAGATCCTGCCATACTTTGGTTAAAAACCTGCCAAATCCTGCCAAAATCTGTAGTGAAAAATGCCTAAATACTGCCAATTTTATTTACCTTTGTATTAAACTAAGAAAAGTCAAAATACACATATAAATGATATATTTTTTTAATTAAAATTAAACATATCTTTCGTTGGTTCGAATGCAATGCAATCTCCATGCTCACCAATGCCTTGTTTAACGTTTTTTTTTTTTATATAGGAACGTACAAGATAGACGCTATATGTCTGTTTCGTGTTTTGGTCTTAATTAAATTTATTTGAAAGAATATTCTTTCCCATGTTGAAACCACTCATATTTATTGATGTTTACTAGTAGCGGCATACTCCTTTAAGCACACACACGGGGTGCCAATTTGCAGTTACACAATCTGGATCATCTTTAGCATTGGAGATCCGTGATGAAAATAAAAGATCTTGCTTCCACTTCGCTCTATACGCCCTTTAATATTTTCGCTTCATCACCGCCACCTATAATTACTATCGTCCACGAAATAATATTAACAAGATGTTATCACCATGAAATCTAATTCTATATGAAACTAAAGTACATTTCTTTTATAACTGATTGAAATATTAACCAACTGGTGTTAAGGTGAAAGCTCCAGGGTGGCCCGCGAAATTCAAATTTTATTGCGTTTTTTGGAATTTGCAGGTCAGGATCAAGTTGAATGTTTAATAAAATATGATTCGCGACCGTAACGAGTATGTGAATTATTATCATTAAAATCACCAATACAACCCTCTAAGTTCATATAATCCCTTTGAATGAGTTTTTCTGGAAATAGCCATACATTGGAATTATACGAACATAGACGGCTGTATTGATGATTATAATTCTGTAAATACATACTCGTTACGATAGCGAATCATATTTTGTTAGACATACAACCTGACACGGACCTGCAAATTGCAAAAACGTAGGAAAATTTGAATTTCGCGGGCTACCCTGGCGATTCCACCTTAAGATTATCAACTTTATATACAATTTTTTTTAAAGTTGTTTATTGAATATGATACAAACATATATTAGAATTTCGGTTTTGAGGAGAATATATTTAAAAAAGGAAATAAAAGATATAAAAATGCCTCTTGATTCTGCTGATATAGAGAAGTTTGGCACAATTTCTGCAGGTTCTGTTATTTGTAGCATGTCAGTAGTACATGTGTGTCTAAAAACAGAATAAAATAAATTGGTAAATAAAAGCCATTACATAAGCTTTCTTCTGCAACTTTGTTTGTGTTATATAGGCAAACTCAACTAGGTTTCTAAAACGTATTGTAAAACATGTTTTGTACTATGGGACATTGACTGCATCATTGGTCTAGTGGTTGTCTTCTATTTTATTATTATTTATGTTTACTGAAATAGCTTGCCTACAAATACCTTTTTTAAAAATACAGATCTTTGTTTTAGGCATTGAAATCTCCAAACCTAAATCTATGAGCAAACTATACATTTTATTTAAGGACAATTTCAATTCAGTGGAAGCGTCATTTAAATTTTTACCCGAAGTATAATTACGAGTATAAGACATAATCATCAGCATACTGAGAGATATTTACATTAGAATTAATTTGATTACAAATATGAATAGTTGAAATATTAAATAGTAGTGGAGCTATAGGATCACCCTGGGCGATTCCTCGGCCTGTAGACCTGGATAAAATTACATTGTCCATCTGAACACTTAAGTATATTTCCCTTAAGAAAGTCCACAAATATTTACAAACTTTTGATCCAGCTCCTAATTGATCCAAATTCACTAGCAAAGCCGTAATATCTATGTTATTGTACGCGTTCTCTATATCTTTTGAAAACCCCAATTGTACTCTAGTAACTAAATTACTGAGATTGTCCAAACATGATTTTGATTTCACAAATCCGGTGGTCTCTTCATAAAATAGATTTTCATTTTCCATCAACCATTCCAGTCTATTTCTCAACACAGCATGGAAGATTTTACTCAGGTAAGACATCAGCGAAATAGGTCGGAGCGATGATAAGATGACGCCTCACGCCCTGCTTTTGGAATTGGTATAATGAGTATTTCTCGCCATTGAAATGGTACAAAACTTAGAGAGTAAAACAAATTAAATAGTTTGAGTAAAATAATAAATGCGTCTTTGGGAAGGTGTTTTATCATTGAATAGGATATATTATCCACACCTGGAGAAGTATCTTTTGTTTTAACACAGCACGTTAGCTCGCTCATTGAAAAAGGAGAGTCAATTTTAATTTTTTTTTTATATAAGAGGGGGCAAACGAGCATGCGGCTTACCTGATGGTTAGTGACTACCGCCGCCCATGAACAATCGCAACACCAGGAGAATTGCAGATGCGTTGCCGGCCTTTTAAAAAGGAGTAGGCTCTTTTCTTGAAGGTCCCTAAGTCGTATTGGCCCGGAAAAATCGCTAGTGGTAATCGATTTCACAAGGAAGTTGTGCGAGGAAGAAAACATCTTCTCAATCGCACAGTGGTGGAACGCCAATCATCCAGGTGGTATGGATGGTAACGCGAGTTTTGTCGCGATGTGCGATGGTGAAATTGTGCGGCTGGGATTAGTCCGAACAATTCCTCAGACCACTCCCCGTGGTAAATGCGATAAAATACGCAAAGAGACGCAACATCTCTACGCAGTGCCAGTGTATCGAGCCGATCAGAAAGAACTCGGTCGTCGACGATTCGAATCGCTCTGCGCTGGATGCGGTCAAGTGGAAGGAGCTGGCACTGGGGTGCCCCGGCCCAGAGATGAGAGAAGAGAAGGGAGATGAGATTTGCGCTTTGTAAAGTTGCAAGCGATGTGCCGGCATGAAATAGTGTCTCGCTCTGCTGAGCACGCCAAGCTTTTTAGAGGCCAGTTTGGCCTTCCCTTCCAAGTGACCACAAAATTGCACACTATTCGATATGTTGACGCCAAGGATTCCGATGCTAGCTGAGGCAGCAAGGGGAGTGCCTTGAAACTGAGGAGATACGACAAAGGGGTTCGTTTTAGCGGTAAACGCACAAACTTGTGTCTTCTGGGGATTGAACTGGACTAGATTTAGTCGCCCCCAATCCGAGACTTTATTCAGCAAAGACTCGACTTCAGACATAAGATTGTCCCGGTAGTCGGCGACGTATTCCCGAGAAATATTGGCACGGCCGGTATATAAGGCATCACCAGATCTGTCGTCCGCATAGCAATGAATGTTACTAGTTTGCAACATATCATTGATATGCAGAAGAAACAGCGTTGGTGATAGCACGCAGCCTTGTGGAACACCAGCGTTGATAGGCTTGAAATCAGAGCATGCACCGTCTACTACGAACTTGGTGCTCCGATCAGCAAGGAAACTGGTGATCCATTTGCACAATTTTTCGGGAAGCCCATAGGAAGGAAGCTTCGAAAGAAGCGCTTTGTGCCAGACCCGATCCAAGGCCTTCGCTATGTCCAAACTAACGGCCAATGCCTCCCCCTTGGACTCTACTACCTCCGCCCATCTATGAGTCAGATAGACTAGAAGATCACCAGCTGATCGACCTCGACGAAAACCGTACTGGTGGTCACTAATCAGCTGGTGATCCTCAAGGTACCTCATGAGCTGGCAGTTTATAATGGATTCCATTATTTTGGAGAACAAGGAGGTGATGGCAATAGGCCTGTAGTTGGACGGGTCTGAGCGGTCGCCTTTTTTAGGGATCGGGTGGACCAAAGCTGTCTTCCATGAATTCGGGACTACGCCTTGGGAGTAGGAGTATCGGAAAAGACGCGTTAAAACCGGTGCCAACTCCGGAGCACACGTCTTCAGCACAATGGGAGGGACTCCATCGGGCCCACTCGACTTGCTGACGTCCAGGGAGAAGAGTGCTTTGCGAACCGAGCGCTGTGTAAACCGCACATCCTGCATGTAGCACTCACATCGCGGGATGGTCGGCGGTGTGTTCCCCCCGTCATCTAGAGTCGAGTTGGACGCAAAGAGATAGCTTAAAAGATCGGCTTTCTCCTTTGCGGCATGGGCCAGTGAGTCATCCTCTCTGTGCAGGGATGGAAGAGATGACTGACAGAAGTTCCCTTGGACAGCCTTGGCTAGAGACCAGAATGCACGGGTTCCTGAAGGAAGGCGAACTAGCTTCTCGCCAATTCTGCCGATGTGCTCAGACCTTGCCTTGGCAAGGACGCTTTTGAAGGACCTGGAGGCGGAATTATACTTTTTTTAAGTGCGCTGGTGTTTACATCCCGAGACAATGATGCGTCAGCCCAGGCCCGGTAGCACTCCTGCTTATAGCGTGATGCTATTTTACAGGAGCGACCAAACCATGGCTGGGATCTGCCTACGATGGGCACCAAAGAGGATGGAATAAGAAGTTCCATACCCCGAAGTACCACATCAGCAACAGAATCGGCAACAACGCTGGGATCTTCCGGCGAGAAGCAAACCCGCCCCCAAGGGTAGGATGCAAAAAATGACCGCATCCCGGCCCAATCGGCCAACCTATAGTGCCAAACACGGCGGCTAGCTGCAGATTGCAACTGTGATGGGAGCGTGAGTGGCACCGTACTCCGGATCAGACAATGGTCTGAAGAGCCCAGAGGGCCATCGACGGAGACC